CGGACAAGGCGGCCTTGTCTCTTTGGCGGGACCGTGGGATCAGTCAGCAGCAGTGAGTTTGCTCAGTTCTCAGCTCTCGTCTGGCTTGAAGGCCTGTAACTTGTCCATCACGTCCGAGAACAGGGCCTTGACCGCCAGCTTGGCCGCCTCCCTGGACCCCTCCGCCGACTTGGCCGCGCGGCCCCCCTTCACGGCCATGGAGAAGGCGCCCACCGCGCAGCCCGCGATCAGGACGGGGGAGGGCCCGGCGGCGGCGGCGGGGAGCAGGAACACCACCCCGAGCAGCGCCCCCAGCAGGACCCCCAGCGACACGCCGATCAGCACGTTGACCCGCTTCCTCATGAGCCTCTCCACCGCCTCCTTGCGGGCCGCGTCCGGGTCCTGGCCCGGGCCCTGGCCCTGCTCCCGCAGGACGGCCTCCTGCTCCTGCCGCAGGGCCGCCTCTGTGCCCTGGTACATGTCGTTGGTGAAGCAGCCGCCGCCGCCGCGCGCCACCATGGCGTCCACCTTGTCCAGCAGCTCGCTCACCTGGGCGCGGTCGCCCGGCTCCTTGTTGCGGAAGAGGTGGCAGCCGCCCCCGCAGCGGCCCACCAGCTCGGCCAGGTGGGGGTCCTCCTGCACGAACTGGGCCGGCGGCTTGCCGGCCAGCTCCTCGCCGCGGGTCAGCAGCACCACGGTGTGGCGCAGGGCCTGCTCGCCGAACAGCTGCAGGACGGTGTCCACCACCCTCCTCTCCGTCCGCTTCCTGCGGCCCACCCGGATCACCAGCAGGAAGGCGTGGGGCCCCGGGGCGCTCAGCGCCACGCAGCGCAGGACCTCCTGCTTGACCTCCAGCTCCGACAGGTCGGTGTCGAAGAAGCCCGGCGTGTCCACCACCAGCACGGGCCGCCCGTCCACCTCCCCGCGCTCCAGCGCGCTGCGCTTGGTCACCGACCTGGGGCTGGCCTCGCTCCGGAAGGCCTTCCTGCCCAGGATGGTGTTTCCCGAGCTGCTGCGGCCCTGGCCGGTCATTCCCAGGAGCACCAGCCTCCGCTCCCCGCTGCCCTCGGAGCCTGCGGAGGAGGAGACGGGGCGCGTGAGTCCAGGGGGACCGCCATCCC